TATATATATATATTTGATTATTTATATAGACACCATATTTTCCGCAGTATAAGGGGCACCTAAAAGTATTCCATTTGCTCAAAAGTCAACAGTGCGCCTTATAATCCGACGCACCTTATATACGGATAAATTCGGATTTCTTGGAAGTCGTGTTTTAAATTATATATATATATATATATATATATATATATATAGATATAGATATAGATATAGATATATATTGTCAGTCAAGAGCGAAGCCCTCAACATTGAAATTGCTCATGAGGTGATGAAAAGGATCCATGTTGTTATTCAAGTGCCGGCTGCGGCTATGGCGCCGTTTTAATGGAAATTGATTCCTTGCCACTTTCCGCGGGAGATTTTCAATCATATGCGACTCGCTTAATCGATGCCTGTTTGATTCAGGCGCGACCCCCCTCCCCGAGGCCACATGCCGAGCACTTGGCTCTACGGCCACTTGAACTCAAAGGAAGAGAGGAGATCAGGTGGTCTGGGGAACGACAGACACGGTGGCTCGACAAGGGAGAGGCTCCGACACTGACCAGATCAGGTGAAAAAAGCAAAAATGTCTGCCCGTTTCCATGCATGGCACTCCTTTTTTACGCTCAAGGAAAGCAAGGCAGCGTGCTTCTCCGTCATGACAGCATTTTCCGCGGCGCCTCTAATGAAAGTCTCTCTTTCAAATGCTGTTCTCTCGCCACTCTCCCAAACGCAGCAGGGCAGCCCCTTATGGCCCGGGGTTGCCCATTTGGAGTCATCTGCTCCAAATCTCCGATGTGTCATTGGTTTTCACTTATTTCAACCATCAGAAACTCACCGAGAAGGGATTCTCGCTGAGTTTATGAAGACGGAATTAATGAACAGGAAAATTGGATTGAGGACAGATTGGCACTTGAGGGGTTGGCGGGGGGGGGTCACGCTCCCCTCTCGCGGCAATGACAAAAAGTATAGTACACAATCGCTATTGCGTCGAGTGGAAAGTGCGACGTCTGTGCTTGACTTTGTCCGAATATTGCACTCCATGTCGGAACATGAAAGCAAATATGAATAATATGTGACCAGCCGGCATTAGCTTGACGTATGAAGAGGACTATTCGCAAGCCATCACCAGCTATTATTTGTTTGTTTGTTTGTTGATGGGGTGGGGGGGTGGAGGTGCTGCTCCCGCCCTTTGCCATCAATCGATTGTTTCAGCGGTCAGGAATCACCCGACCACGAACCGCCTTACTTACCAAAGCGGAGAAGGCCGCGTGCTGTCCGAGCAGGCGGTAGACGCAGAGCGCGCACTCCTTCGCGCATTGGGCTCCGACCGCCGGGGACACGCACGCTCCCAGGACCAACATCCAAATGCAACTGCGCTGTGCGGCGGAAGCCATGGGCTGACGGCGAAACCAAAAGAAGAAACGACGATCACGAACAGCATTGTTATTCAACTCTTCGAATGACTGGAGTACGAGTTTGGGCCGGAACCGCCCCCCTCCCCCTATCGGTTTTGCTTAAGTACGCAAAGGCTCTTACCTTATGACTGGAGACAAGTTCTCGAGTGACAAATTCCTTCCTGAAGTGCACCCACCGCGCCGCCGACGGACGAAGCCGCCGCTCGCAATTTATGCGAGCGGGGAGAGCGGTGCTCAGCTTTTCAGCCAATCAGCAAATACTTGGAGAGAAAGACAAAAACGCAGCCCGGGCTGCCCAATAGCCCCTTCGCACCCGAACTCCAATCCGCGCGTCGGCAGCGAAGCCGCTGAAGTGTTTTTTTTTTTTTTTTTGTCCGAGTTGACGTCACATATAAGTGAGTTTAGAAGAGCGACGCATTTGTCACAGCTTGCTCGAGAGCAAGAGATGACGGATGTGGAGCGAAAGGCTTCGTTTGTCAGCCCGACTCTTAAAATGTGACGAAATACATCAAATCATATGTCGAGAAGAGGCAGATTCGGAGCCTCGACAATAATATCCTCCTCCTGTTGAATTCATCGGTGTACTTGATGCGCCTTCACATCCTCCCGGTGCTCGTTACACGCGACTGGCCAACCCGTGACGACCAAACGAATCGGGTCCTTTCCTCTCTTTGGATGCGGAGAACTGACTCGTGAGCCATTTTCGGTTTCCGTTTCAAAACCAGCCGGCAGCCATGCCGAATCGCGACGCGGGGGGGGGGTGCAGCTAAGAGCACCTCCACTTGCCGGATGCACCCTGGGCCCGTGTCACTCGACTTTCCCTTTCCCTCTAGGATGGGAAAAACATGCTGCTGCATGACTCCTCACATTAAACGCAACTCTTCGAGAGTCTGATTACGAATGAACAAAGTCGCTTAACGTGTGACTTACTAACTAACCGAAGAAATAAAAACATCTGAAGGTAGCAATGCACTGGTCACCTCAACGTGTTCATGAAGCTGCGAAGCTGAAGTCACCCAGCGCCCCCCCCATAGGGTGGGGAACAAGCTTGGGCCTGTTCTCATCATCATCATCGTCATCCGGGCTTTTCACACATTACAACAGAAACAATCAGACTGCCGTTCGAACACCATACGCCAGACTAGAAGGCCAACAAACCCCAATGGAATCCATCCAAATGAGCTACGCGTTTACCCCCACGATACTGCTTGTCCCCTTTGGGGTCACGGGTGAGGTGGCGCTGATCCAAAATGACTTTGGGGAAGATGCGGTGACCGGACGCCGTGACATTGCACGGCAAAAAGAACAACCGTTGCATTCACACTCACAGTTGCACCTGGAGAGAAGTGAAAGTCTTCCTTTCAACTCCCATGCGTGTTTTTGGAATGGAGGAGGGAGGCCGGAGTTGCCCGGAAATACACACGCGCGCAGTAGACTCGGATGAGATTCCAACCCAGAATCTCTCCACGATGAGCCAGACATGCAAAGGAACACTTGAACGCCAAAGTATTTCTTCTCCAATTGGATTCTCTCGTCAAAGTGTTTGTTTGTTTGTTTTGTTTGTTTATTGAACATAAAACATATACAGTAATAATTTGACAGAAAATAAGGTAAATAAAATAGTAAAGAGGAAAGAGAAATTAGTCATCATTCAATACAGTTATTATGTTCAAGGGAGTAGGAAGAAGTAAAGAACTTATCTAGTCCTACCCCGTAGTGGATGCATGGGGGGAAAAAAATCCTCATACACTCACATCTCCCTTGCGCAGTAATCTGTTATCATTTCTGTCGCTATAACAACAGGCTAAAGGCAAGTTTTTTTAATTAAGAGCAGGCGTTGAGCTAACATAACAAAGTCGGCTCGTTGTTTGTTCTCAGCGTGTATTTGTCAGGAACAGGAGCGGCAGTAAAGATTAGGCTGCAAAGCCAGTTAGGAGGACTTTTCATTTACTGTTTACTCTGCGTGTGTGTGTGTGTGTGTGTGTGTGTGTGTGTGTGTGTGTGTGTGTGTGTGTGTGTGTGTGTTGGTGTGCAG